ACACACACACACACACACACACACACACACACACACACACACACACACACACAGAGGCAGCCTGAAGAGGAAGATATTTTGAGAAAATGAGAAAGAGTGCTGGGTAAATGGATTTCCATATGGTTGGATGAGAGAGCGTCAGGAGTGGGGAGAAAAGGCAATGTGAGGGGAGAAAAGACTATGGAGAATAGATGGGGACTGTTCAGATGAAGAAATCAAGAAAAGAAAATTCGAGAGAGAAAAGGAAAAAGAAAGCGAAATTGTGCATAACTTTGTTGACATATTTAAAACAAATGTTGAACATATTTAACACAAATCTCTTTTTATTCATGGCATGTCATGTAGCTTCATATTTAGAATTCTGTAATAGTAGGCAATGGACTTTAGGACTTTATTTCAACTCCAAATCAGTTCTATTGCTTTGTTTCATGTTTTTTGTTTGTTTGTTGGAAGTTCTGTTACGTGAGGCTCAATATAAGGTACAGAATTGGATTAAGAGATTTAAAGCTCTATAGATTCAAAAAAAATAAGTAAATGAACAAATTAACATATGAATATGAATAAATAAAACCAAGCAAAAATTTAGCATGATGTTTGGGAAGTCGGAAGGATGTAAGTGTTAGGTAGAGTACTACTGGGGAGAAGGAAAGTATTAAGAATGTTACAGTGGGAACTTCTATTCTTATTCACTCCACTCTGTGATATATTCCAAGTGCTCTTTCATCAGAAATTCATCAAATGAAAGGATGATATGGTGAGATCAAGTAGGAGAGAAACACAGAGCTGGGAGGAGACTCTTTCCAATGCTTCTTTTCAAGAAGGACTCTGGCTATAACCAAAAAGAAGTTGCTGTTTTTACTGCGTGTCATGAGATGTTGCCCATTTGATGAAATGTCATTTAACTAGAATTTTTTTTTTCCTATCTGAGTTTGGTACTGAAATATATTATCATCTGGAAAGAAAAATAGAGTATTACTATATGAGTAATGTATGTAAATGTGTTAGGCATATTTTCCACCAAAGTACAAATGAACGGATTTTTAGTTCTACAAGATGTGTTTGTTGCATGTAGAAACTGCATTTGATCTGAATGACAAAATAAACTGATCCATCCTCTCATTCCCATTATTTGAGGCACAGTGCCACTTCGTCCTCCTGCCAAGGCACCAGCTCTGTCTGGCAGGAGTGATAGAATATGCTCCCTGAACCAAATGTTCATCCTGCCTCATAAATTATTTCATTTTTTTAAGTGTTCTACTCAGAATACTGGAAACTTGGTAGCTGGAAACTGGAGTAGAAGCATCCTGTTACCCAATGTTCTAGTAGGTGAAGTAAAAGAAACCAAATATCACTTAGATGAATTATAAGAGACAGCCGAAGTAAAGACTTGTCCAGACACCTTATTATTCAAAATTCACCCTTATTTATCATGGTTTTTCATCTTAATAAATAATATAAATAATAGGCATCATTTTTTTTTCTAAAATTCCAATGTGTAATAGATGAGAGGTAAAACAACTTATTTTTGTCTTTATTTTTTCAACTATGCTTTGTTTTTAGCTGAGCATTCATTTTTCTTTTTGCAAGTGATTTTAACATGTTTTGATCAGTATGGGCCTTTTACTAAACTGACCAATATAATATACTCACCACTGCTATTAAAATATAAATAATAACAAAAAGGTGTAATATACTTTTCTTAAGATAAAACGGGTATTCATTCCATTATTATCTCAATTGTGTTCCAAATAAACAATTCTATGAATCTTGAAAAATTAAGTGTAAGAGTATCTTGAAAACTATTGAAACTGTTGAACATGAAACTATGTGCTACCTAAAACTGTAGAGACAGTATGTCTAAGTATACTCTAACATAAGCAGACTCCTTAGCTATTATATCTGCTTTCAATTGATCAAAATTTCTGGGTTTAATTCCAGTAATGATTTTTTATTTAAGCATATATTTTAATTGTATGTTATTTCTACTATGTTTTACAGATAAAGAATGGCAAAGTACATTTTACATCAGATGCAGGAATCGCTGGGAAAGTGGAAAGAAATGTTCCTGAAGTGTATGTTGCAGATGGCCACTGGCATACTTTCCTAATTGGAAAAAATGGAACAGCCACAGTATTGTCCATTGACAGAATATATAATAGAGATATCATCCACCCAACACAGGACTTTGGTGGCCTCGATGTGCTTACTATCTCTCTTGGAGGAATTCCACCCAATCAAGCTCATCGAGATACCCGAGCAGGTAAATGTGTCTGTTGTGTAGAGTCACAAAAGAAAGGTAAAATTGTTCCTCAAAAGTAATTGATTTTTGTGGTGAGAGCAGCTAAAATCTACTCATTTAGCATAAATCCTATATATGATACAATTTTATTATAATAAAATGTATTTCTTTAAAAGTAGATTTCTGATAATATCACTTATAAGTATTCTAAGACTGTCATAACTATCTTTAGAAAGTTTGCAATAAATTATCAGCTATGACATCCTTTAGCTACTTGCCAAGATCACAATGTAGCCCGTGGTGATTTGATGCTTTTGTTGTTCACCAAACATTTATTTATACATTCACTGACTTATTCATTTATAGCCCTTCTCCTTGTGGGACACATGGTCTGTTAGGGGAGACAAACATCAATCAAATGCTTACACAAGTAAATACATTGTTTTAATCTTTTAAAATGACACGAAGAAGGAAGAATGTAGAATTCTAAGAGATTCTGAAAGAAA